TTTTTTTTTTTTTTTAAATATATCTTTACTGATTGCAGAGAGAGGAAGGGAGAGGGAGACAGAGATAGAAACGTTAATGATGAGAGACTCATTGATTGGCTGCCTCCTGCACATGCCCACTAAGGATCATGCCTGCAACCGGGCATGTACCCTGACCGGGAATCGAACCGTAATCTCCTGGATCATAAGTCAATGTTCAACCCCTGAGCCAAGCCAGCCAGGCCATTGGTTGCTTTTTGTATGTGCCCTGATCAGAGATTGAACCCACAACCTTGGCATATCGGGATGACACTCAGTATCCAGCCAGGGCTGCACTGGGTTTTGAAGCAAGGCCTGACTCCCCCTGACAGAGAAGAGTGTGCATCAGGAAGGGTTCAAGTGAGACCAAAAAAGGACTTCCCAGCTGTAACTAGAAGTTCCATTGGTGATGATGCCCAGCTTGGGACTGGCTGTAGAAAGGAAGCCAGGGACTTCCTTCAGCAAGCAAACCTGACAGTCCATCCTAGCAGGAGCCTGGGTTGTCACATACATCCCTCCAGCCCACAATGCTGCAAGGCCCCTGACTCCTCACTGAGGAGCCAAGCCAGGCCTCTATGTGCCCCACCCCCATCCTGTGGGCTGCTGGTCCCTGGATGAGTTCTGGTCAGTCCCCCTGCTGAACCTTGCCCTGGCCAACAGGCACTCTGGTCAAACTGGCCATTGTCTCCACAAGCAAACAGGCAGGTGGGACTGCGGGTTGAAGAAAGGGCCCTTTGAGGGAAGAGGCAGGCAGTAGGTGGGGTGCACAGACTGAAGCCCTGGGATCCTAGAGCCCTAACTCTGCCACTCTGCACCTCAGTGACCCCACTGGTCAGATGGCATCATAAGTCATCCCAGAGACCAGAAAGGGCCAGTGATTTAACCACACAGCTGCCAAGTGAAGGAATTCCTGAGAACAAGCTGTGGGCTGGACTGCCCTTGGTGCAGGGACACAGGGAGAGACAGAACCACTTCTGTGTTTTGTCTGCCAGTTTTGATAGTGGGTTTTTTTAATGCTCTGCCCCCCCCCCCCATTTTTTGACTGTCAAAAGTATAAAAACAAAACAAAACAAAAACAAAGAATAGAACAGCCTTACCATTTCTAGTCAGATCTGGGTCATCCCCCATGTACCTCCAACCATGAATCCATCCTCTGCTCCCCCTCTCCAGCTCCCAGCCCCACCCACCCCATTCCCTGCACTGCAGCCATCACGCCAGAACCCATCACCTGAGGTCTTCCTCTCCTCAAAGCTCCTGCAAGGCTCCAAACAAGCCCCACATGCTCAGCCCACCCAGACCCCATGGCTCACTTGAGTCTGTAAGCACACCTTGCCATCCTTGCCTCTGGCCTCTACATTGACAGTCCAGCATCCTCTAAAGACCTCCAGAGCTCCCTGACCCTCAGAGTGATGAATGAACACTGGAAGGTCCAAGCTCCTCAATGGAGCACCCCCTGCAGACAACAAGCTCCTCACATCCAGCAAAGGAAGGGTAAGCAGTGAGAGAGCCAAAGCCACCCTCAGTAACCAAGAGAAGGCACTGCAGTGCTCACCCAGCGCCTTGCACAGCTCCGGATGCTTGACCCCGATGGTTTTCAACCTCTGCAGCAGCTCTGAGGAGGTCAGTTGCCGCACCAAATATAAGGCCACCGAGTAACTCTAGGGGTAGAGAGGGGAGGGGTGTCAGGTCTGGGTGGGGCCAGGCAGGGTGAGCAGAGGCAGGGAGGAATGGCAGGGCCAAAGGGGCGAGCAAGTGGACAGCACGCACCCCACTCACCTTGCCATAGTTCCCCCAGGTGACAGTGATGCGGTTGGTGGCCGAGGACAGGTACATGAGGTGAGTGAGGTTGATGGGGCGGCAGGGCCTTTTGGGCTCCACTCCGGGCTTATTTGAGGGGTAGTAGCCCTGAGAGCAGATGGGAGACTTAGCCACCACAGGTGGTCTATATCCCTGCCCCTCTCCATGCTCGCCACCCCCAGCAACAGATTGGGGGCTGCCTGGGGACCCTGCTCACCGGAACTGAGCAGTAGCTGTGGTTGACTTTCACAGCAATGTTGGGTGGGTACTGGTCCTCCTGAGGGCTGCTGGTGTCTGAGTAACAGATTCTGCAATGACAATGCGTACCATGGGGCCGAGGGTAGGGGAAGGGCTGCTGGGAAAGGCAGGGATGACAGACCGGGGCCGTGTCTGGCCTGATGGGTAGATCACAATGCTGGGCTGCACATGGGGGTTTTAGGGCCCTGTGTCTGGCCTGAGTGGGGATGGATGGTGGTGTGTACACAGCCAAGGCAGCCAGCAGGAAGAAGGAACAGGCTCCACCTCTAGCTGGGAGCCTCAGAGGGGCTGTCATGAGGGACGGGGACCTGACTTCAACACATTTGGGATGGGACACGGCAGGGCTGTAGCCACCCAAGGCAGAAATAGCCAAGGGTTCCCTCGGGGCCGGCACACCTGAGCTTACCTTAGGACGACCTGCACGGCCTTGACCCCAGGCTGCAGTTCTCTGTGCCCCAAGGAAACCACGGGGAAGGAGAGGAAAGGAGGGGTCAGTGAGATGGGAGTACACCTGGTACACCATGCCAACCCTTCAGCTGGGTGAACACTGGCCTCTCCTGGGCTAGCCAGGCAGCGTAACCCGCTACCTCCCTTGGCAACCGAAGGCCGATAGGTGCCACCTAAAATGTTCTCTCCTGCCATTTACTCACTGGTGACTTGGGGCAATGACTTCCCCTCTCTGGACAGTGGGGGGCTGGTGTGGATATTAAGTAGGTTGTTGGTTGCGGGCCTGGCATGTGCTGAGTGCCCCGACAAGCAGCTGCTCCAGTGGTGATTGCTGTCTCAGCTGGAGACGGAGAGTCTCAGAGAGCAGAGTCGGAGACCTGGGGACAGCCCAGTGTCTTTACCTGGGCGACTCTGCCCCAGGGGACACTGGCTATGTCTGGGGACATCTGTGGTCATCATGACTGGGATGCTCCTGGCACCAAGGGGGTGGGGGCCAGGGATACTGCTCAACACCCTACAGTGCCCAAGACGACCTGGCCCTGATGTCAGCAATGCTGAGGGGTACAGACTTTGCTAAAGGGAAGCACTGGTCCACCTCCCGGGACTGCTGTGCACATGGACCCTGAATGGAGTGGGGGTGAGAACGCAGGTTCTGCACCAGATCTAGCTAAAGGCTCTCCTAGGCCACCTGGGACCACACCCACCCACTACCTAGCCACGGAGGTCGGCAGAGGGTGGGGCCCAGAGCACCTGGAGTTCCTGATCAGCTCCACCTGTCTGGGTGTCAATGCGAAGATGCACGGGCTCTCTTGAAGCTTCTCGTTATTCTGTGGAACTAAAGACAAACATGGGATCAGAGTCATGTCTGGTCCTTGGCGAGGGCGCCAACCATGGTCATGGTCATTTCTACTGCCTGGCCCTCTTCAGACCTGGAAGCAGGAAATGGAAGGCTGAGTCCTGCCAGGCAGGGATGAGGGTGAGGGTGAACCTGCTCCTTCTTGGGGTTAAACCTCAACCTCAGGGAACGCTTACTACTACTCACTCCCCATCTCCCCCACTGAGGGCCAATCTCAGAGCAGTGGCCTTCTCATCCCTGTGGAGTTCAGGTGTTTATTCAGGAAAACTGAGAACTGCTCCGCTAGGGGAGAAGAGCTATGCTGGGCTGGGAGGATGCAGCACAGATGGACCATGCACCCTTGGGCCAACCTGCTCTCTTTACACCAGCAACAACTCTGTCCCCACCTCGAGCGGCTGTTCTGGCACATCTGGTGAGCATGTGCTCATCAGTGCAGACGCCACTCACACATATAGGATGACAAATGCTCAGAGTAATACATTACTCAGAATGGTCTCTATCAGCAGAAGACCATTAACCACCTAAATGCCAGCCAACGTGGTCTAGCTAAGACATACTCTAGGAGGTCGCATAGAGAGGAATACTATGCAACTGTGAAAACAGGTAACAAAGAATCAAGATGCTCTTTGTGTTCTCATAAGGAGTAACCTCCAAGGTGTTCTGGTTACCTGAAAGTAGCAGGTGCAGAGATGTGTGTTTATCATGGGGTTACTTGTGCAACCAAATGGAGGAAGGGGGCCTGTGCAAGTGCACATTGGCTTATCTGTGCAAGAGATGTCTCTGAGGGGGATTGGGAGAGGGAGCTTTTAAAATTTATACCGAAAATCCTTTAGAACAGGAGTGGGCAGACTGTTCCATAAAGAGCTAGAGTATAAATATTTTAGGCTTTTTTGAGCCACAAGGTCTCTGCCTTGATGTCCTCACTCTGCTTTGCACCATGGAAGCTGCCAGAGATGGTAAGTGTATACATGGGTGTGACCATGCACCAATAGAACTGGTTTAGGAAAACAGGCAGCCAGTGGGGTTGGCCCCCACCCTAACTGGCCAACCCCTGCCTTAGAACCTTCTGAATTCCAAACCACAACAGGTAACCTATTTAAGCAAATGTGATTCAAACTTAAAACCAGTTCCAGCTTAGAAGCCAGACCGTCTGGGTTTGTACCCCATATCTATGAGGGGCTGCACACCCCTACAGTGGTCCAAGCCTAGGCACCCTCCATGCACAGGATCCACTTCTCAGGGTGCACAGCCAATTACTTAGCTGGTGCTCAGTAAGAGGTGACTGCTGTAATCGCAACACTGCTGCCAATTCATGCTTGTTTGTTGAGGGCCCTGCTAGTCCCTTCAGAGTCCTGAATGGGGCCCTGAGGAGGGCCACCTAATTGGTTACGGGAACACTGGCAGGCCACCTGCAGACACCTCAGACCTGTGCAAACAGCCCAGGGGCAATTATTTATTTATGAGGAGAAGGTGGCCTCACAATATCTGGGCTGCCAAGACTGGGTGGGAGGTCAAAGATACCACCCTACCTCACAGTGTCCCCCAGGGAGAAAGGGAAAGGGACCCCAATAGGCTTCTTAGGAGCCACCCACTGGCCAGGGAGCTCTGCCAGCAGAAACAGTGCAAAAAAAGTGGGCAAGCCGGTGGTGGAAGAACCAAAACCCAGGGTCCCCTTCCTGGAAGGGCTCCTATTTCTAGATGAGGCTGCTGTGAGGAATCAGCCACCTCAGACCAATGACACAGTGGAAAATCAGAGTTCAAACTGCTCCCTCAGGAAGCCAGGTGGCTATCGGGAGGTGAGCTTCCACCTCAGCTAGGACAAGGCACATCTTATACCATCGGGAGGGGGGTGGGGGTTCCCCAAACCCAGGTCTTCACCAGCTCCACCTTTAGCTGTTCGGGGCTGAAATGCGGGCAGCATCCATGACTCTTGTCACATCCACTCCTCCATCAACTCCTCAACCAGTCCTGCTGGTACCCAGTGCTCTCCCTCTTCCACCACCCACTGCCTGTTCTGATCAGTACAAATACCACTTGCTGGTGTCCAGGCTCCAGAGGCTCACCGTCTGCTACATAAGGCCTCAGGGGGATGTTCTGTCTAGCCCTGTAGCCGTAATTCCACAGCAGCTACCCTGGCCTCCTTTTTCTGCTTCTTACCTGCCAAATACATTGAGCCCTGGGGTTTTTGCATGTGCCACCCCTCTTCCAGATCACTCCTCCCTCAATGATATCCACCTCCCTGGTGTCTTTTAAATTTGTGGAAATGCCACCGGGAAGAAAGCCTTCCCTAAGCATTTTTATTTAAAAACTGCACCACCTGCCCTGGCCAGCGTGGCTCAATGGTTAGAGCATCAGCCTGTGTGTGCACTGAAGGACTGCAGGTTCGATCCACCATCAAGTACACATACCTGGGTTGCAGGTTTGATCCCTGGCGCTGATTGGGGTGCCTGCGGGAGGCAACCAATTGATGTGTCTCTCTCACATCAACGTTTCTCTCTCCCTCCCTCCCTCCCTCCCTTCTACTAGCTCTAAAAATCAATGAAAAAAATGTCCTCAGATGAGGATTAACAATAAAACCCTGCACCACCCCCTTCCCCAACCCTTGCAATTCTGGCACTCCCACCAGCTTTCCTGCTCCATTTTTCTCCAAAACCTTTACCTCCTAAGAATCAACACAATGTCCAGGTGTCTTTAGGTCATCATGGACACCAACTGAACCAAAAAGTACTTTAGTCATCACTCACACTGCTGCAAGCTGGGCAGACATGGATGCATGCCCCTCCCAGCCCGTTCACAACCATGAGCCTCTGTACCTCCTCTGCACTAAAGGGAGGGAACCCCCTGAACTGAGTCCTCCAGGCAGAGGGAATTCTGGGAATCAGCCCTTGGGTAGATCCGAGACACTGACCAACCAAGACGGCCTGCACATCCATCTTCACCCTTGGCTGCCAGGCAACCTCGCAAACTGCACCAGCAAAAAATATTTAAGGGCCTGAACAGATGCTCACAATATACTGGGGAGGGGGAGGGGGACAAAACAAACAGTCAGGGTACAGCCACGTCTTCATAGGGTTGCACCACACAGAAAAGGCAGGAAGCCCACACTGCCAGTAGGGATTCTCCAAGGGGCACAGCAACAGCCGGTTTCTCTGCTACTATCCCATGTTTTCTACGATGAACACGCAATTTTGCAGAAGTTTAAATGAAAAGAAAAGGAGATTTGAAGAAGTCAATTGATGGGACTGGTCTTCCATCTCACTGGCCTGAAGCCTGTCTACTGGCAGCCTGGGACCTGGGATGCCATACGATTGTCTAGGCTCCCACATCATAGGATGGGACTGGATATGTAACCACACCTGGCTGTGGGACAGCAGGCAGGCCACTGTGCCTCAGGGATCATACATGCCTCAGAAAGGACTCCAAGAAAACAAGACCTGGAAAAGCTCATGGGGTCTTCAGCAACTCCAAAGCCCTCGGGACAATACCCACGCTTCCTCTTGGTCCACTCATCTCATGTTTTTTGGCCTCTGTTCTCCATCTCTCCTCCTGTGCCACACCATGCTCTGATCACAATGGCTTCCATTCATAAGCTCTCTCTCACCGCTGGAATGGCTTCATGGCTGGAACACACTCCCCCAATCCCTCCCTTTGTCCAGTTTATTGCTACTCACCCCTCAGGTCTGGACAGGAATGCCACCTCCTCCAGGAAGCCACCTCCCCACAAATGCACAGTAAGGGGCTCCTGTTATTGATAGCCCCCTAAAAACCCTGCATTCCCCAATCAAAGCATTCCTAACCTGGCACTGTTTATAATCACCTCTAGTGCAGCTTTCTGGCAAAATGTGCCAGGCCAGGGACCCTACTACCTTCTTGTTGCTTAGGCAATGTCAGTCAAAGGGCTCAGGCTAAATGAAGAACATCTGAACAATAAGGTAGGCACCAGACCAGCAGCTCTCAACTACCTGGGTGCTGACTACCTCTAGGGCATGTGGAGAACTGGGAGGGGGGGGGCACCTGGAGTTATAAGGACACAGGGTGGCAGTGGGAACAGGCTGAATGGCCCCACACCGTGAGGAGCTGGCCACAGGATGCCGGAGAGCCTCTCAGAGCAGCGCTGCGCCAGGTCATGTTTCCTTCCTTCCTCCTTCAAGTCTCATGATGGCCTCCCTCCCCCACCCAAACCTGACAGGGAGATCTGGGCCTTCCCAGGCAGACTCTGGTTACTGACACCCTAAGTGGCTGGGCTGGGGGGACCCTCAGGCCAGGCCGTAAGATACCTAGTAAGTCCCAAGCTGAAGCAGCATGACCCAGGACCATGTTCCTGGCCCCTCTGAACTCTACTGCAGTCTGTGAGGAAGTACCCCTGCCCTGGGAGTGCTTGGCCACTGGCCTGTCCCAGCTGGGAAGGGGAGGACAGATGGGCTTTTCATGCAGAGAGGAGGCCTGGGGTCCAGAACCTTTGTGTGATTCAGAACAGTTGCTTCCCTGCAGGGGTACAGGCACTGATGATGTGGGGAAGGGTGAGAATCAGGAAGATGGCTGAGTACACAGCCCAGAGCCCCTTCTAGCAATGCTGTGTGACCTTGGGCCAGTCTCCTGACCTTTCTGGCACCAGCCCCTGCCCCCACTGGAGGAGATCATCTGTGTCCTAAGGTCCTTCCAGCTCTGGGTCTGTGGCTCTATTCTTCCCCTCCCCTCACCCACCCCGAACATCCCACTCTGTATGATTTATGTCTACTGTCCAAGTACGGGTTCCATCTAGAAGCCAGCCAGTGGCTCTTCTGGTGGAACAAACCAGAGCATGTGGGCCTTGTTGTGGCTGGCAGGTCATGGCAAGGGGTAGAGGGAAGCTGGCCGAGCCACAGCCTCCTAAAGTGGCTCCTGGGCAAGGCCAATGCAGCAGAATTCACAGGGAGAGGCACCTAGGGTGTAAGGTAAGCAGACAACTGCTGGTCTGGGAACAGAGGGGACCAGACTGCTTCAGGGTGAGGGCCTATCCTCTGTGAGGCCTCTCCCTAGGAACCCAGGCAGCCCCCAAGGGTCCCTGAGAAAATGGGACTCCCAGAGAAGGGGTACACCTTGGGACAGGGGCAGGCGAGTGGGTGGGAGCAGAGGCAGGGCGGGGTCGGCCTCTTTGTTCTGAGCCACCAGCAGAATAATTCCTGGTGTAGTCAGGGGAGCAGACTCTCCCGGAGATCAGGTGACCAGGGTCCCTGGGGGCTCAGGGCAAAGCAGTGCATTGTGGGGTGGGAGGGACTGCAGGCTTGCAGTGCAGGAAGGAAGCTCATGGTCCAGGCAAGGGATGAGAGGCTGCCAGACACCCTGAGTTCAAAGTCACTCCAGTCCCATTCCCTGCTCAGCGCCAAGCCTGCCCTGCAGCTTCCCAGTGAAAACCCAGCCTCCCCATTAGGAAGATCATTTTGGAATCAGAAACGTCAGCTCAATCTTCAATATCAACTAGCCAGTCAGCCTTGAGGACCCCTAAACCTCCCAGAGAACCCAGTGGTATGGTGGGGGTGGGTTCCTGCATCTAGAGAGGTTGGGGGAGCAGAGACAGGAGAAGTCATCCTGGAGGAACTCAGGAAGGGGCCTTAGGTGTTGAGCACTGCCACATCAACCCTATGGCAGGTGCTGCTTGGCCAACCTGCTCCCCACCTGGGGGCTGGAGAGAAACACCTCCTCATGTCAGAGAGAAAGCAGTGGAGGGCCTCAGACTCCAGGGCTGGGACTACCAGCAACTCCTTCCTCCACCTCCTGCAGCCTCACCTAGAACTACAGCCCCTCTGGCCCAACTTCACAAAGCCCAAGGTCTGTAAGTAGGAAGAGACAGGCAGCTGCACCCCCCCCCCCC